TATGGAAGATAATACGGTGCGTTTTGGTCTCCTCGGATGTATCAGATTCGCGTCAAAATTCGTCAGAACGGTAACCCAATCCTCTAACGCCGTCATTATCGCCATCAGCGATCCGTCTCTCGAAACCGCGAACACCTTCGCCGCCGCCAATAATTTGTCGCCGGAGACCATCGCTGTGTACGGAAGCTTCGACGAGCTACTCAACGACCCACGCGTTGACGCTGTGTACTTGACGATGCCGGTGACGCAGCGAGGGAAGTGGGCGGTGGCGGCGGCGGAGAGTAAAAAGCATCTTCTTGTTGAGAAGCCACCGGCTCAGAACACGGCGGAGCTGGAGAAGATCGTGGAGGCATGCGAATCTAACGGCGTTCAGTTCATGGACGGTACGATCTGGTTGCATCATCAACGGACGGTCAAGATTAGAGAATCAATGTTTGATTCGGGATTGCTTGGAGACGTTCGCCACGTAAGCTTTGTCTTTTACTTAAACATTGCAACTTGGTCCATAGAATCTTATAAATTTCTGTATTGCGCTATATATAACTCAAAACGACTCAAATAACCTTATATTTGGAAAATGTGAAGGTATCGAAAATACGCTCTAGTATAAGATTGATTATGGAATCCATTTCATGAATACAGTCTAATCTACAACTTATAATGAATTTGAATTTGATGTTTCATTTAATCACTAGCCCCTAAAGTTTCGAACTTTGTTGTGTTATACTATATGTTTTTGCAGATGTACAGTACAATGACGACTCCGGTACCGGAGCAAGTACTAGAGAGACTGACGAAAGAAGCAATGGGTTTAGCTGGAGCCATCGGAGAGCTTGGTTGGTACCCTATTGGTGCAGCTCTCTGGTCTATGTCTTACCAAATGCCGACCTCTGTCAGGGCTCTTCCTTCCTCAATCACCACAAACTCGGTTGGGACCATCTTGTCCTGTTCTGCCTCCCTTCAGTTCACTTCAACCGCAATTGTCCACTGCTCCTTTCTCTCTCAACTTTCGACCGACTTAACAATCACAGGTTCTTACCATCGTCTTTTTTCCCGTAGGCTGAATTGTAGTCCAATCCAACCCGAATCGAACCAAAGTGAAAAACCGAGTCTGAACCGGTCAACAAAAACAGTATAAAGCGATATATTAGATTTTTTGGTACATTGGTTAATTTTCCTAAAACCAGAACACTGAAAAACTCGTACCTAAACCGAACTAAACCCCGGATTAAACACCTCTAATAGAATTGTCAAAATGGTTATTAAAGTGATCTTTGTAGTAACATCAATTGTCGAAATGGATGGTCAGGTTCAAAAGGATCAGTTCAGATGAATGACTATGTGATCCCTTACAAGGAGGACACAGCTTGGTTCGAGTACACAAGTGGTGCTAAGTTCGTGGAAATGCACATTGGTTGGAACATGATACCGGAGAAAGTTACAGTGGACTGCGGCGGAACCGAGGAGTCGCAAGAGGCTATGATGCTTAAAGAGTTCGTGAGGCTTGTCCAAGGAATTAAACGGGGCGAGTCAGAGGCTGATCGAAGGTGGCCAGAGATCAGTAGGAAGACACAGTTAGTGGTTGATGCTGTGAAGAAATCTGTTGATATTGGTTGTGAAGTGGTTTATCTGTAAATCGTGTTGAGATCCTGCCCTAATTAGATTATGATATTTATATTAGTATCACTGATACATTTACATGTTATGGTAGATAACTTTTGTAAGTCGAAGATCATATTCCAATATGCGCATGTTTATAAAAAAAATGTTATTACATACTGGTATCAACAAATGACCCTGTATTATTTCTTTTCAGCCCCCATTTATTATTTTTCCCAAACCCCTGCTCGTGTTATGTATTTGGGGAGTTTCATAGACACACTTTGCGTAGCTTCTTGAATTTTTTTTTTTCCATCTACTCATAATATTAAAAACAAGTTCGGATACAAAAGGATTAGCTAGAAGAAAAAGCTCAAACCGGCTATGAAGATAAAAACTACCAGAACCAAAATCCAACAACAGTGGCGAACCCATAAATTGTTTTTACCAAAGTCAATATATAATAAAAAAATATTATAAATACTAAAAAAGGTTTTAATCAAATATATATATATATATTTTATAAAAATATTCTACGATTTTTCACTTAAACCTTTTTATAACAGTTTCATTGTAATAGTCTCGAACACATTTTTCTTAATAAAACAAACTAAACAATCGTTCAAAGATTTATAGCCAGTTCGATTGAATGATAATCGCCTAACCGTATGAATTCGTTCATAAGGTCTAAGTAAAATTCATGATTATGAAACATTTAATTATGCAAAATAATTCAATTCAAATTACAAATTTCATAACAATTCTCACTACACACACTCTAAAAATTAACAAAAGACATTGAGAAAACAAAAACACAATCTAGACTTACTTGAACGTAAAAGTTGAAGATTTAAGGAAAAGTTCTCAGTCATATACATTTAGGTTCGCCACTGGTCTACAACAGAGTAAACAAGCCCAAACGAGAGGACTTTACAACCGAAAGATCAAACTACAACTAGGAAAACTTGCTAATCCGCTATAAAACCTCCAAAGAATCAACTCCAACTCTAAATGGAACAAAGAGCCACCCAATCTCTAAACTCAAAGAAATTGAACCCCAGCTTGTTTCCACGCGAAGATAAATCGGCAAGGAAGAACGTAACAAAGGGGCTGCAAATGCACCCGAGGCCAATGCACCAAAGCTCGAAGCACAAACTAATAAGAATGACATAGACAATACACAACCAAGAGGAAGAGGTCCACCAACAATAACACGAGAATAAAACTCAATCACATCCATGAATCTTCTACTGAAGTTCAACGCAATACCAAGCTCTATAACTTCACCTAGGAGAGGAGAAATCATCGAGGGCAAGTTACTGATATACATCGTCGTTAGAAGAGTTATTCGGAAAAAAGGAGTGGGTACTAGCTTCTTGACACGTAAGGAGAGTAAAACCTGGTTTTAGCTAAGGGAAAATCTAGTTGCATGGCAGAAGATTTGAATCATTGTTCTATCAGTGGTTGAACGTCATGAGATTGAGATTAAACCAAAATTTTATGAGACTTTTAATGCTACCCGTTCATAAGCAAGGCAATCGTGTGCC